ATAACAAACATCTTGAAAATTTCAGCTATTTATAACAATAAAGATTTATATCTTGATCCTTCACTTGTTTGTTATAGGTTGACTTCAGCTGTATCTCTGGACACAGTTTAAAGGGGCAGCAGAGACCTGCTGACCTCGTGGCAGAAGAAAAAGAAAGAATAGTGGAGCCTCTTAAAGCTTCTGGCTAGAAGTCACATGTCACTTTCACTTACAGGCCCTTGGCTGAAGCAAATCATATGGCCATGCCTATCTTCAGTGGGGTGGGATGGTATAATCCCTCTACAGGGAGAGGCAGTGAAAAGTTCCCCACATTTTTTTTTATACCAGGGATTGAACCCAGGGGTGTTCTAACACTGAGCCACATCCTCAGCCTTTTTTATTCTTTATTTTGAGACAGGAACTCAATAAGTTAGTAGGATCTTGCTAAATTGCTGAAACTGGCCTTGAACTTGCAATCCTCCTATCTCAACCTCACAAGCCTCTGGGATTACAAGTGTACTCAGTTTCCTACACTTTTATGAAATACATAACACTATGGAAATAGGTATCATTTTTATGCTATTTATTATGGCTCTGATCTTTCTTCAAGCAAAAATATATTTTAGATGTTTATGCTACAAATAGATGTCTCCTTTAAAAATAACTACATACCACACCATACAATGGATGTACTATAGTTGATTCAACTATTTCCCTAGTTGAAGGCAATTAAATTATTTCTAACTTTTTATTATGGCAAACAAGGGTGTTGCAAGTACCCATGTGCTTGCCCTTTGTACATGTATGCAAGTGAGTCTCTGGGGTAGATACGGAGAAGTGAAATTGCTGATGAGTACTTCTCCAAAGGAGCGTGCCCATTTTCTCTCGTATCCTCATGTGGCACACTCACTAGGAGAGTTTCAAGGCGAATTTAATGGGGGACTGTATGCAAAAAGTAGTGCAGTACTTGGGACTAGTAAGAGGGGCTATTACTACCCCTGAAGGTTGGAAGGATGTGGGAGAGAGGGCTCTTAGTGGAAGGAAGAGTCCCGTGGAGAGGGACTGTGGGAGTGGCTCCACAAGGAAGGAGCCAGGGAATGAAGGCCTGGAAACACCCTGTCCCCTCTGTCTCCTACTGGGCTGACCTCCACCTTCACCAGATGGCAGAAGGGATCTGTTGATGCAGCCTGACTCCTGGGGCACAGAGGAGGTAGAAAAGGGCAGAGAGCAAAACTGAAGAGACAAATAGGAGATATCCACCCGCTCTCCCACCCACACTGAAAGAAATGACTTTGTCATTTGGCAATAATGGCAAAACATGGTAAGGGTTTGTGTGTGTGTGTGTGTGTGTGTGTGTGTGTGTGTGGTACTGAGGATTGAGCCCAGGAATACTGTATCTCTGAGCTACATCCTAAGCTCTTTTAAAATTGATTTTTGAGACAGGGTCTCACTAAGTTACTCAGGCTGGCCTCAAGCTTATGAACCCCCTGCCTCAGATTCCCAAGTAGCTGGAATTAATACCATGCTTGGTATTTTTAATTGGCATTTCCTTCATTTTTAGTGAAACTAAGCATTTTTACATATTTTATTGGCAATTTCTATTTTCCATTTTTACAAACTTCCTTTAAAAAACTAATTTGTCTTGCCAGGCACAGTGGCACATGCCTCTAGTTCCAGCAACTCGGGAGGATGAGGCAGGAGGATCCCTTGAGCCCAGGAGTTAAAGGATGGCTTGGGCAACATAGTAAGACCCTGTCTCAAACAAACAAACAAAAAAACCCAACAAATTCTGTCTCTTATTTTTCAGTACTGGGGATTGTACCCAGGGGTGTTCTACCATTGAGCTATATCCCCTGTCCTATATTTTGATCCTTTTTAATTTTGGATGGGGACTGGCCTTCTGCTTGCAATCCTCCTGCCTCAGCTTCCTGAGTTGCTGGGATTACAGATATGCACCACCACACCTGGTTTAGGATTTTTAATGTTATATTTGGTTCTGAGATTTATATTTGAAAATGGGATGAGGTATAATCAAATCAATTTGTTTTCCCAAATGGATATCCAGTTGTCATAGTGACATTTATCGAATGTCCCACTATTTTCCCATTATCTGAAATAACATTTTCATATATAATAAATCCCTATAAGTTCATTTCTGGATTCTTGTTTTGTACATGTATTTGTAAATTCCAGTACTGTTTTAGTTACTGAAGATGTTGTGTCCTTTGTTACTCTTCTATTTCTTTCCAAAGTTCCCTTTGTCATACTGCACAATTATTCTTCCAAATAAGTCTTAGAGTCAGCTTATCGACCCTTATGAAAAATTCTTGTAGTATTTTATGGGCATGGAGCTGTGTTTATATATTCACTTTGAGCTCCTTGATTTGTTTTTGGTATTATGTCTTTCACATCCAGGAAGGTAATATATACAGTATTTCCATTGTGTCTCATTGTAAAAGTTTATAGTTTTCTGAGTAGACATCTGGCACATTTTTAATAGACTAGTCCATAGATATTTTACCATTTTCGTTTGGTATATTTTGTTCTATTATTAGTTCAATAATAGATTGGTTGTTGGAGATTTCAAGAATTTTTATTGTGTTCACTCACTCATCCCTACACAGCAAGAAGGTGGCTGGTAGAAGACAGGAAGAGAGCCCTCGTTGGAGCTGCCTGTGCCAGCCCCCGCCCGTGCCAGCACCCTGGTCTTTGACTTCCAGCTTCCAGAACCGTGAGACAATGATTTCTATTGTTCAATACCAAAAATATTTTAGTAACAGTTTTAACCTTTCCTTTCTGTGTTTCTTAATCTTTTACCTTCCCAAGATAATTTTGAAAAGCAAAGCGTTTGCCAGACTCTTTCAGTTAAGGTTCAAGATGTATCTGTTTCTGATATATTCACTCAAGACACGGATGGAGAAGTGAGCAATGTCAGGAAGAAGCAATCTGTGTGAGAAAGATTTTTTCTGACAACCACAGTGGTGGAAGAGTACTTTAGGAGCAGAAGTGCTGTCATCCTGTCCTGTCATTATCCACTGCAGGAGTGGAGGGGAGCCACAGTGTTTTTCCTTGGTCTGCTCGGATCATGGAGCTGCTCCTGACTGTGAGGTTCTTTTTCTACTAAAAGCAACAACAACATCAAAGAAAGACCTCTTCTCTTCTAATAAACATGGGGACTGTGGATTGTCAACAGTTGGAAGCGTTCATCTGTGAATAACAGAGATGCTAAAATATCAAGGACTTTAGCCACTTAGAAGTTGTTTCCCTTCTCTTGCAAAAATTGGAGGTAGGAAGTTTGGTGGTTTGTGCCATGAAATCTTGTACCATGAGAACTTTAATCTTTTTTACTTCGTTCTGCATAAACTACCATTTCCAAGCTCACATCATGGTCCAAAGGGCTGTTCCAACTCCTGACATCCTGCATCCAAGTCAGAAAGAAGGAAGAAGCCACCAGGGGAACAAGTGGAAGGTACTGGGCGAAATCCTCCTGTCTCTTAAGAAGGGTCCTAGACTCTGCTATGTGGTTATTTGGCATCTTATTGGACAGAACCCAATTTCATGGCCAGACATGACTGTAAGGGAGGTTGGGACCACTAGCATTTTTTTGGGGGGTGGGGATAGGGGGCGGACCGTGTACCTAGGTACAAGGGAGATGACCTCGGAATCTTATTTGACACCCTTCTCTGGCAGTTGAGTCTCTGGCTTTCTAGGGGGAGTGCTCCTGCTCTGCGAGTTCCAGGACACCTGGCTCTCAGGGAGGCTCATCACTGCCCAGTATCCTGATGACAGACATTAGAGTTTCACCCTTTAAAGGGGCTTCACAGGTTTTATATAGTCCTGTGTCTGGGGTTTGGGGACCCTGAATGTCTCATGGCTTTGTAAAAGTAAGGGAGGCATTTATTAGGAGACACTTTGTGGTATCTATCATATAAAAGTACATGAGTCAACATCTTATGAGAGATTAAGGTCTAAAGACAGCTCTTAAGGAAAAGTCATAGTCAAAATTACTCTTTACACAGTCGTACGTCATCCTCTACAACCTTGTAAATGTGTATCAGTTGGCTATTATCACATAACTGGCCACCCCAAAATTCAGTGGCATAAAATAACAATCATTTATTCTCACACTTCTGCAAGTTGGCTGATTGCGGCTGACTCAGCAAGGCTTGTGGGGCTTGGCTGTAAGCTGCAGGCTGGTCAAGTCCTGCTCCGCGTGTCACTCATCTTCTTTAGATTAGTGAGCTAGCCAGGACATGTTCTGTCGGATGGCAGAAGAACCACAGTGCGAAGTCAGCCGGGCAAGCACATTTCAAGCCTCAGCTTGTGTTACAACTGCTCAGATCCCATTGAGCAAAGCAAGTCACACAGCCAAGCCTAATGTCAGGGGATGAGGAAGTCACACTGTTCTGCACTGGGCTAAGAAGACATGAGACCAAGCCCGATGTCCCTCAAAATTCACCCCCCTTGAGGGGAAATACAGTAAGGACTTAGCCTCTTCACTTTTGTCTGCAAATGTTTGATAGGTGACTAAATGCAGGCTTCAAGACTTGGCATCTCTGCCTCCATTTTGCATCTGTCTCCTTTGCTCTGAGTCACCTTAGATTCCAGGAACCACCGGGTTGAACAATAAACATCTTGAGATGAGTGGAAGCTACCTCCAGACAACAGCAACTTCCTTATCCTGGGCAAAGCCCTGCCTGAACAATCCTGAGTTAATGATGGACCAGGCCAAGCCAACCCAAGATTACCTGTTTTGCAGCTATGAAAGACTTCCGGCTTTGGAAGCCCCAAACCCTCACACTCGTTCCCCTGTCTATCAAACCTCAAAGTCATTGTCAATTCCTGGAAGGAAGGGTTGAGGACTTGGGCCCCCTTGTCTTCCTAGTGTAGCCACACTGATTAAAGTTCCTTTCATATTTTTTTTCACCATTAAACTCTTATGGAAGTAGCATGAGATGAGTAAAATATTTTTATTAAACAATTTAATTTGCCACAGAATTATGTTTTTAAAATGAGTTCTCGGGCTCACTTTGGCAGCACATATACTAAAGTTGGAACCATACAGAGAATATTAGCAGGTCCCTATGCAAGGATGATACACAAATTGGAGAAGCGATCCGTATTTTTTCAGAGAGAACTATAATAAAAACCTAAAAGGTTAAAAAAAATCAGTTTTCACGTATTAATCAATTGTGACCCTCGATTCTTTCATTTTTAATTTGAATATGTCGAGCAATTCATCACCACGCATTTGCCTGGTCAGCTGATGATTTTGCATTTTACTTCTTTATTAAGGGTTTGGAACTCATAAAATAATTCATATTTCTGTATGAATAGACCAAAGTTCATTGGTTATTGCAGCAGGATGGCAGGCATGGCCTGGGTCAGAGGTTCTCCGGGTAGATGGCAGGCAGAACCATTCTTATTCTTTAAATCCTTCCTTCCACAATCCATAACACTGACTTTGTCTACCTACCAAGCCTCCCCATTGCACTGAGGAATGCGCTGAGCAGTCAGGTGTGCTGGACGGGCACAGGGGCTCTTAGGGGATACTGTGGTATGCAGCCCAGACCCCGCCTCCCCCATCCAACTTCACGGCTGAAGCATTTATTCCCCCAGTGACTGGGAACTTTGGTTGCCAACAGCTTTCAGCTGAGTCTCTCTTGGGGCCTTGCCTTTGGCTGAAGAGAGCAGCCTGGTTCAAGTTCATACCCCTTTCCTGGGATAGGCTGCATCCAATGACTGTGAGGGACAGGGCGCCTCCTTGCCATTCTGGGTCCATGTGCCCCTGGCATCAACTGAGGCCTCTGTTGAGGCTGCACTTTCAACCTTTCCTTCCCACAGACGACCTGGACAGCACTCTGCAATACACTTCCCACAGCAAATCTCCACCCTAGAGTCTGATTTCTGGGGAGCTCCACCCGCAACAGTCTCCGAAGTCAGGCAGAACAGTTTGAGTCTTATTTAGTCACTGACTAGCTGAGTTCCTTGGATATAATAAGTCTACTATAAGCCTTTGAGAGCCTCCGGTTTTTAATATCTAAAGATGCAACAATAATGGTAATCCGTCTCTTTCAGTTACTATGAGAATGAAGATACATCTAAAGCATTTAGCACATTTAGGTTCACTTGAAACCAGCACTAATATGTCACAGTCATGTTTTACTAAAAATAATAATGTTAGTACAATAACTTGGAGGTCCAGTGCAGAGGAGACTGGGGTAGGGGATTTTGTTGAAATTGATGCTCTTCTCTTTTTAGGGGCTTGGTGAGGAGGGGTACCAGAGATTGAACCCAGGTGTGCTTAACCACTGAGCCACATCCAAATCCTTTTTTTATTTTTTATTTTAAGACAGGGTCTCTCTATGTTGCTGAGGCTGGCTTTGAACTTGGGATCCTCCTGCCTCAGCCTTCTACTCGCTGGGATCTCTTCCTTTTGACTCAGTTCCTGGTCTGCATTTTCAGAAGCCCTTAGGCTGGAGCTGCAGAAACGGATCTGTTATTCTAACTTGTTTCCAGAAGGTGGCGCCAGTGGACAACACTGCAGTTCTGCCTCTGCTCAGTAACAATTTTTGGTCAGTTTCAGGCGCATTAACCATTCACCAAGCGCTGACTATTCTATCATTTTACTCTTCCATCCCTTCCTCAACAAACACTTTACTAAGCACTTAACTCCAGCCACAGAGCAGCTTCAAATCCCTTCTAAAATGTGATGGTGACCAAGGAACAAAAGTAGGAAGCAAATAAACAAAAAATTCCAAGTTCCTGCTGGGGAGCTGGACTTTTGAGAGATGAATAAGAGGTTTTAGCCACCGATTTATTCTGGTTCTGGATTGGTGCCAGCTCACGCTCTCAAAAGCGAAAGGGGCTCAATTTGAGTGAAACTGAGTCAGGAAGAAAATGGTCTGTCTGCAGGAGCCACTGAAGTGCATCCCAGAGGCCACCCGCAGCCCTCTCCAGGACTATTGATCTGAGAGCAGCAACTGGTCCCTAGACTGGTTAACATTCCCGAGCAGGAGGAAGAAGAAGAAAAAAATCCTTAAAAGGAAATGGGAGAAGGTGTTGAAGGGCTGGGGGGAGGGGTGAGCTGGCCTGAATTAGGAGCTCCAGTCAGAGGTGACTTTGCAGGCCCTTGGGCATCACACACAGGCCAGCAAGCAAACCTGGACATCAGGAGACCAGGGCCTGGCAGTCTATATCTATTACTAGGATAGAGTGTCCCCCCTCAGCCTTCTTACACCCGCCCCAGAACTGTGGGGGATGAGCCCACCTGAAGGTGACCTCAGCAAAGCAATTTTAGGGGTGTCAAGAAGGGCTCCTTAGGCTGGAGATAGAGCTCAGTGGGTAGAGTGCTTGCCTTGCATGCACTAGGCCCTGGGTTCAATCCCCAGCAGCACACAAAAAAAGGCGGGGGGCGGGGGCTCCTTCTATGAATAAGATCTCTTGACAATCACTCTTTGGGACCCAAAATGCCACAATTAGTGTCCTTTAAAATACTTATTATGAAGCTGGGCAAGGTGGTGCATGCCTGCAATACTAGGAGCTTGCGAGGCTGAGGCAGGAGGATTGCAAGTTCAAAGTCAGCCTCAGCCACTTAGTGAGGCCTTATGCAACTTAGTGAGACCTTGTCTCAAAATAAAAAATAAAAAGGGCTGGGGGGTGGCTCAGTGGTTGAAAGTCCTGGGTTCGATCCTGGTATTAAAAACAACGATACATATTACATCAGTGAACGGAAAATGACATCAGAGTTAAAGGAGATTTAAAAAAAATTGTAAGAAGTAAGAGCAGAATTTCTCTATGGTGTGTGTGTGTGTGTGTGTGTGTGTGTGTGTGTGTGTGTGATTGTATTGGCTTGGAGAAAAGTCTTCAAAAACACACTCAGTTGTTAACTGGATTATTTGAGCCAGAAGGTGAGGAGTATGTTAGGGAGGTTCGTGGAGGGTGGCAAAGGATAATGAAAGGGCCAAGGGGAAAAAATCACATTAGGAAAGGGCATCTGTGATTGAAAGATGTTACTGTGTGTTTTGATTTATGTAAATGTTGCTTCTGTTGCCCATGTGCATAGACATGCATGAAAGATGCCCACAAAATGTTAACCAACAGCACTCGTTATATGGTGATGAGATTTCAAAGGATTTTTCTTTTTCCTTATAACTCTATAAATTTTAAATTCTTTCATAGCATTTAAATCAGGGAAGTAGGGGAAGAAAATAAAATCTAGAAAAATTTTGCAAACCAAATGGGAAAAGCAATAAGAAAGCTGAGCTATCCGCGTCTGAGGGCCTTCAAATTCTAACTTCTCATTCCCTAACTGTGTGACCCTGAGCAGATTACCCAGCCTCTCTGAGCCTGATTTGCCTCCTCTTTAGAAGTAGGATGTAGGAGATACCTTTTGTTTTTGCCTGCCCAGTATTTCCTTCTGATTTCCTGTGGAGAACTGCTCCATCCCTTTGCACGAGACCCCACCTTGAGTACCATGTGGATCTGTGACTGAGGCCTAGCCAATTCATTGAGTCCACTGCGCAGATGTCCATAATTTGACCTGGGTCAGCAGGAGTTAAGTCTAAGACTTTTCCTGAAACTATATGGTAAGAGCAGTGTCTTTCTCTGTGAGGGTTCAGAGCTGCTGCATATATAAGCCTGGAGCTTCTGGTGGTCATCTTGCCTATATGAGCAAGGAGTGTGGCTAAAAGTGGAGCCAGTACACAGGAGAGGAGAGATGAGGAAATAATGGAGCAGCCCACTGACGTCACTTAAGGACCTAGATCCAACTGTGCCTGAAGCTGGAGAACACTTCCAGGGGGAACATAGCATACTGGTTGAAATGTAAATGCTAGGAGACAGACTGGTCAGGTTGAAATCCCAAGTTTGCCACAGCAATCAATAAACACAGAAACACAACTGAAAGAGTAGGGCAGAAAGGAATTTGTTTAAAGGATGTGGAATAGACAGGCTGAGCAGTCAGAAATGGTGTCCAGAGCTGGGCATGGTGGTGCACACCTGTCTTCAGCAACTTAGTGAGGCCCTAAGCAACTTAGCAAGACTCTGTCTCAAAAATAAAAAAATAAAAAGGGGATGTGTCTCAGTGGTTAGGTGCCCCTGGATTCAACCCCTGGTACCAAAACAAACACACACACAAAAACAAAACAAAACAAAACCCCAAAAAACTTAGAAAAAAAAGAATGAAACGGTCCACATTTCCATGAACGCAGCTGAATCGGCTTGGGAACATTGCTGACCCCGATTCCAGATATGCAGTGCTGCCTGTCACCCCACTGCCACTGTTGTCACCGGAAGTTGGCCGTGCTGGCCCACCAAGCCTGCCAGAGAACATTCCCCCGTTAGTTTTCAATCCCAGCCCGAGGCAGATGCGCCCGGTGGGCAGAGCTGAGTCACATGCTCACGTCCTGGCTGCGGGAGGCTGGGGGCGAACCTGTGGGGCATTGTCCTCCTCCCCTGTGGGCATGGCTCTCCAGGAAGTCTCAGGAAGGAGATCATTCCCTTCAACGCAGGGAGTGGGTGCAGAAGCTGGGAAGTAAGAGAGAGAGAGATGGCTTAGCTGATGATCACAGTAAAATGGTGGAAATCCCCAGCAGCAAAATGGAAATTATTAGTTCTTTCCTCAAAATATCATCTAGAGGACTGAAGGAGTTCATACAGGTAAAATTCTTAGAACTACGTGGCTACCGAATGGTTTAATGAATGCTAGATCTGACTTTTCAGTTAGCGAATTTTGCCTGGAGTCACTTAAAAATCAGTTGCTGTGCTGTTTTGGTTTATCCCGTATGCCTTCGGACAGTCTTGCCTTCAGTGAGGACTGCCGATACTCCATGGGGTGGCTGTAAAGCTTGAACGCCTAAATAACATAAAGTTCCTGGCACGGGGACACCCTTGATCAATGATAACTACTTATTTCTAATATTAATACCAATACCACCAATAAACAGGTCTTCACTATCTTTTGTAAACGCTAAGAGCAAGGTTTGGTCAGAACTTGAAATCACATCCAGGGAGTGGTTTGATGGAGGGCTACACTGAGGATGAAAAATGGGTACAAAGTTGGTAAAAAAAAAATTAAAAAAAAAGGTTTTGAGCTGCTGGAGGTCAAACCCCAGGCTTCACATAGG